TGGAGGATACACCACTGGAAGTAATATGGCTACACATACGTTAAAGATAAATGACCGTGTATGTTAAAAGGCACACGCATACGAAGTATAAACAGTGGAACTTCATTACACTGGTAACAGCTTTTCTCGATTTTTAATTTCATTGGCATAGAAAAACATACTTACAATGTGCTTATTAATTAGATTGATTGTTTGTGCAGGTACACGTTGTTCAATCAAAACCGAGACATGATTATACAAAAGCAGATTTTGTTATCTTGTTGTATTATTAAGTTGTATCTACCTGAACTTTTTTAATAGCCTTCATCCAAAAATTCAGAATATCTTTAAATAGTCTTCGACTTTTGTCTAAATCATGTAGAATTTTATAAAATCAACTTTAAAATTTCTCATATTTAAATTCCTTTTATGAAAATTTAAGGACAAAAAGTCTTTGCTAATGACAACAAAAACAAATTCAGCGAGTAGATCATTATAAAGAAAAATAATTTATAAAGAGAATTCTCAGTTTCGGAAAATTAAGTATAGCATTCTGAAAAAAAGTAATGTAAAGTATAAAAACAAAGGTCTAAAAGAAACGTGTCGTGTTAACGTTGGTGTTAAGGTTGGAAGTGAAGTATCAGGACCCCTCATTTTCAACATATATTAATGGCTGGACATCTGTAAAGAAATTGAATATTCTATATTGGAACACCAAATATTGACTCTGTTCTGCTTCTCTTTTGACTACAGACCCTTGTTAACAAGAAAGGGGGTACTTGAAAAAACATTTATTTTTTAAGTTGTACATTTTAAAAGAAAATCGAATTTCATGTTATCGCTCTTCTTGTAAGTTTTGTCTTGTACACTGTACTAGTCTGGGTGTAGTGATTAAAGAGGAGAGTACCTTGTACATGTAGAATCAACAAAAAATGAGTGGATACAAGGAACTTATGATGGGAGTGGTAAAGGTTTTGAAGGACTATATTTCGAAAAGGAGGGATCGTGTCATCTTCAACATAATGTTATCATGGCTTTCTAACTCTTTGTCCTAATTGCCTTCCTATGAAATTCAGAAATGGAAAAAATCGCTTTCTGAAGATAAGTCCGTAAATATTTTATGATGCTGTAAATAGTAAATTGCATACTTGTTCCAAAATATAAAATATTAATTCCCTATAGAAAATTTAACATAAGCATTATTGGTCGTAGCCTTTGATGTTCTTTCGACGCGTTATTTTGACATAATGTGTAATGGTATATAAAACTTGTCAGCTATAAAACGACCTCACAATCAATAGAAGTCTTTTTCAGGCCACATGGAATTGTTATATAAAATTTCACTGCAAAAGCTCAGAGGATTTCTAAGATATCGCATATAAACGAATTTTTTACAGGCAGACAGAAAGATAGACTAACGGACCGGACGAAAGGGCGGAGAGACAGACCGAAATTAATACCGACCCTTTTAAGTGAACTTTAATTGAAAGCGAGAAAGCGAGGGAAAAAAAGAATAAAACTAGAATGACTAGAGTTTTCTTAACAGTATTATGCAATCCTCCCGTATCATAAATTGTAGGAAGCAGATTATAAGAAGAAATAGATAAAATGCACATTTAGTATGCAGAATGAAAAAAAATAATGTGCACAGTAGCTGCTTTAACGCCTATTTCAAATACAGTACAAAACTTTTATTGTCACTCTCTTGAATTGATAGGCAACAGTCAGATACAATCGACAATATACATTATAATTCTAAAATTATACTAATATTCCCAAACAAACGTTGGTTGTGGGAAAACAAGATGTTTTTGTGAAAAACTGATGTCCCAGTATGGTAGCTTTTGGCAAGGGTAGAAGGTCCTCAAATGTCTGTAGAGCAAGTCAAACCTTGAGTTTAAAGTCAAAAGGTCAAAAATATTTTCACCCATTGATAGGTCTCGTAACAATGAATATACATTTGAAGAAATATGTCCTAGTTTAAAGTTTGGTAATTTTTTGTAAAAGGGGTCAAACTACGAGGTCAAAGTAGGTGAAAAGGTCAAATTGCTGGTATTCTAAAAAGGTCATGTCACAAAGAATACACCTGTGAAATATAAAATCCATAGCGCCACTCACTCAAATGTGACCCAAAACTAAAAAAGTTTGACCTTTTTTGAAAAATTATAACAGTTGTATATTTTATTTTTGACAGGTTTATTTCTTATAACAATATCTTTCTTTGGAAGTTATGATATTAATAATTCTGACCTTTTGACCTTGATCTGCGAGTTTAACTTGGAATTGAGAAACTTCTGCCCTTGCAATAAGCTGTCATACAAGGGCTTCAATGTTTCACAAACATATCCTGTTTTTTTTTTTTTTTTTTTTTTTTGGGGGGGGGGGGGTTGATACTTATGCTTTTTTACAACGCACTTTGAAAAATTACGCACTTTGAAAAACTTTTTCAAAGTGCATTAAATTTGAGACAAAATCAGCGCACTTTGAAAAAATAAATTTTTTTTTCAAAGTGCGTTAATATCGTCAATATTCTTGCAAGTTTTAGGTATGATAAATAATTGGACCTGTTTGATAACTCGTCGGTGATGAGCTCACTTCAGGATGTGAAAGTTAGCGATTTTGATTTTTCCATACCTTGAAAATTCTTTCCTGTAATTAATGTTTTCCAGTTTGCATGCATTTTATGTAAATTGAAATTTATTGAAAGTTTTCAACGTCATACCAGTTATGTAAAAACATATATTTGGGTGTAGCATAAGCATCAGTACAGGGAAGGGTGGATGGGGGTGGGGTGTTGCAAACAAATTTCTGCAAAGATATACATAATAAAAAAAATGGGGCTTATCTTGGGAGGGGGGTCAACTTTCTATCTGCTACCGACGACTATGTACAATGTACAAGAAAAAAGTCGGGATGAGAGACCTTCTACTACTTTTCCCCTTGATCTCAATGAGGTTAAATGAGTACATATTAATTAAAAAAGTTTTTCAAAAGTTATCATAATTACAAATTGATACTCTCAATTACTAAACCAAGTCTAGAATTTTTCAAAGTGCGTAGAGTGTGTTCCAAATTAAACGCACTTTGAAAAAAAAAAATCAAAGTGCGTTGATTTTGTCCCAATTTTAACGCACTTTGAAATATTTTTTCAAAGTGCTTATTTTTTTTCAAAGTGCGCTGGCACAATGCTATGATATTCACTGAGGTAATCATTGTGAAAAAGGCCTTTCATACTGTATACTGAATACTATTCGTTATCTCCATATCCTTCTTGGTATAAATATGTTGACCTTTTGACCGTGAAGCTTAATTAACTTTAAAAAAATCTTTAACCTTGAGCATAACTTAAAAAAAAAATAGCGCTAGGGCTTTTATATTTCAAAGTTGTATTCTCCTTTTCACAATACCTCTATATATACATATATGTTTCGTATTAAGTTTTATCTTATAATTGTATGATTATATGATCGTACTTATGAAACACATACATTGTACATGTAATTACGATACATATATTATAACATCATGATCACCTGTTCTACGTACTAATTTCTAAAACAGCACAATCAATGTACAAATATGTTGATGATTTAATATAATGGATATCAACAGTGTTTTTTTTTCAAACCGAAATTTTACAAATTCTGTGGTCGAAAAAAAAAATATCTATTTGAGCAAACACAATTCAACGTAAATTTATCGTGAATTCGAATGACGATGGTTTCATACAAATTGTTACGTAGATTCCTAACTATACGCGTAAAATTAATTATCGTATAATTCGCGAAGCATCATCCACGAAATAAAATTGCTCGCTTTTATTTGTATTGTGCTGAATTATATGTAAAATCGCTTGATCAACGGTCTATTCGCGAATTATTATTCTCGCGAAGTGACGTTGAAGAGCAAATTCGCGATAATCAGTCCTTGCGAAAAATTAAATATCCATTTTTCACGCTGTGTTGTCTTCGGATTTTCGATTTTCCAGATCGTTACAAGGAAAGCATGGTGGGGTCATTTAATCAGGAGATTCTTCCACCACCATTATAAAAACAATTGCTTGAGGTGCTATAAATTTATATCATTTCAATTGACTTTTCAGCTTGATTTCTATTAGTTTTCTTCATATTTGATTGGTCATGTAATGAAGCCCATTCCTTAATCACTTGGTCATGTCATATTTGGGTATAATCAAACTGATACACTCCTTATTTTAATGCTTTTGTTCATTCTGGGTCTTTTATGGTACAAAGTATTAAATTACTTCTATATAAACTAGTGGTGCATCTACTTGTGGTGCCTAAGAATAGATAGCACAAACTTTTTATCTTCCAAATTCAAATATTTTTACTAAGATAGATTTCTCTCTTAATTGAAAACTAATATTTGTTTACTTAGTCAGTTATCTACTTTGCAAAATTACATAATTTGGTTAAAACTGCGCAACTTTAAAAATTTTAGAAATGTAGGATTTTTTTTACTTCAGTTTCTCAAAAATTTCTTAGAGTATATTTTTACATTTCAAACAAGTAGCATTTCTTAATCACTGTTTATTGCAGTTGCACCGTAAGAAATAAAGTAATTTGGATAAGAAAAATAGTTTTTGGTATGTAGCTTCCAATTTTTCATGGACATATAGCATATCAATAACCTGATCAAAATACTGCATATACTATTTTATAAGTTACTTTTGAAGAGGGCATACTAAATATTTAAACGTATCTTCTTTGTGCAAATTAATGTTCACTATGTATTTAAAAAAATGACGAAATATATATACAGTACTGTATTGCGATGAAATGAGGCACAGAAGAGCACCATCATAGGGAAGTACTTGAATTTATCACTAAACAAACTTGAGTAAAGCACAAGTCTTTTGCGTGAAGGGCTTTATTATGGTAATCATTTCTACTGAGATTTCCAATATTTTAATAAACGACACAAAGAATTTTTATAAGAAATAAGGAAGACATGTCTGAAAAATTTGGCTTTCCAGCTGTCTTTCTTTTGAATGTTAATAGCATTCTGATATGTATACCCCAGTCAGAAAGTCAACTAATTTATAATTCTGTTAAAGAAAATTGTGAATTAGGAGAAAAAATAATGAAAATGGAAAAGGAAATAACTCGATTACGTAAGAATGAACGTAAGTATATATATTGAATACGATGAATATAGCAATAGATAATTGTCAATGATTAACGTTTTTTTAAACTGTTGCTTTTATCTTTTTGTAGGTTTGTCAGTCTTGCTTATGTCAGATTTAAAAGACGAAATATTTCGACTAAGATAGAAAAATCAACGTAAGAACATGTACAAATGTTAAATACATGTATACTGACTATTAATTTCTCTAACAAAATAAACTAATTCTAGCTATTTGAATATTTTTTAATAATTATTTTTTAAAATTAGATTATTTTTTATTAGACAAAAAATCTAAAATTTTGACATTTTGCCGATTTTAAATTTTTCAAGCATTCCAAATACTGTAATGCTAAATAGAAAATTTAATTATTTTTAAAGATTGTGGACTTAATTAAGCATAGTTCAGTTTACAAAATCAATAGTCTGCTAAAGTTATCGGATAATAATACATTGTTTTAATTAATCATATGAAGTAAAATATCTGATAATCCTCACATATTTCAGTGTATACTAGAGCAGTGTCTTTCTTAGTGACAGGGAGGAATAAAGAAAATCAGATTGTCAACAGAGTGGATCAAATTATCGTGATAAACAATGTTCTGAATAATGACGGAGAGGGATATAACGAGACAACGGGAATATTTACAGCACCGGTGGCTGGAATTTACGCTGTTTTCTTTGCTGTGGAAGTCTCATTTCATAAATATTTAAGTAGATATCTGAGAGAATCTGATAAGGAAAACTTTCGCAAAGAAAGGAATAAGTTTAATAATATGAAAAAATATGCTATTAAAAACTATTATGACAACATAGATTCTCATCTTAAGGATGCTAGTCTGAACAATCAAAAACTATACTGGAAGTTACTGAAAGACACTTTTCACATTAAACCAACAAATGAAATTCCACCTATTCAGTTTACAGACAACAATGGCACTAAAAGTTTTGCATTTTCAGACATAGAAAAAATAGAACTATTAAATAAATATTTCACATCAATTACAGAGTTAGATGACAGTAATCAAGAGCTCCCAAATATAGTGTCAAGATGTACGGATAATTTTCCACACATTGAAATACAAGAGCAAGAAATCATTGATATAATTTCTATTATTCCTGTCAATAAAGCCGTTGGTCCTGATTGCATCAGCCATAAAATGTTAAAATCTTGCAAAGAAACTATCTCAAAACCTTTGTGTATGCTATTCAACAAATCCCTATCACTAAAAACATTTCCAGACTGCTGGAAACTAGCACATGTTCTTCCACTTTTTAAGAAAGATGACCCTTCCATCACTTCAAACTATAGACCAGTTTCTTTGCTGAGTTGTATAAGCAAAATCTTTGAAAGAATAATTTTGAAGCATGTTTACAATTTCTTGCATTCACATAATATATTTTATAAATACCAGGCAGGTTTTTTACCAGGTCATTCCACAGTATATCAACTATTAGAAACATACCATTCTATAGTAAAAAGTGCTGATGAAGGTAAATTCTGTTGTATGGTGTTTTGTGATTTATCAAAGGCATTTGATAGGGTCTGGCATAAAGGCTTAATTTACAAATTAAAAATGTATGGAATTAATGGTGATGTGCTAGATTGGTTTGATAGTTATTTAAGCAAAAGAACCCAACAAGTCATGTATAGAAATCATTTTTCCTCTGTTGGACAAGTAAAAGCTGGAGTTCCTCAGGGCTCAGTACTTGGTCCCCTATTATTTTTATTGTATGTAAATGATGTGGCTGAAAATATGATATCTGTTTGTAGACTACTTGCTGATGATAATTCTTTACAACAATGTTCAAATAATATTAATCATATTGAACAAAATCTTAACCACGATCTTAGAATACTAGATGACTGGTCAAAGAAATGGTTATTGAAATTCAATCCACAGAATACTAAAGCAGTGTTTTTGAGTTTGAAAAATATAGAGCATTTTCCTAAATTATTTTTTGACAATTGCCAATTGGAATATGTTACGGAACACAAACATCTTGGGATACTTCTGTCGTCTAACTTAGGATGGTCTGATCATATTGATACCATTATAAAGAAAGCATACAAAAAATTGGGGCTTCTTAAAAAATTAAAATTCACTGTGTCAAGAGATATTCTGTCCCAAATGTATATATCTTTTATTAGACCACAACTTGAATATGCTGTTGAAGTTTGGTCTGGATGCACAAAAACAGACATTGAGAATCTTGAAAAAGTACAATTATATGCTGCAAGAATAGTTACTGGGCTTACAATTATTGCTTCAAGAAATTCATTATATTTTGAAACAGGCTGGGAACCACTGGAATATAGAAGAAATAGGGCAAAACTAATAACAATGTATAAAATGCACAATAATTTAGTCCCTATTTACTTGCAAAACTTAGTACCTGATACAAGAGGCAATATTTCAGGATACACTACCCGGAATTCTTTAAATTATTCTTTACCAAAATACAGATTAGAACTCTACAATAAATCATTCATTCCCGATACTGTTAGACAGTGGAATTCCCTTAGTCTAAAAACAAGGGAGGCAACTTCTATTAAAATTTTCAAAAACTATCTTCAAAATAGTAATGTAAAACCTCAGAAATATTTTTCTTATGGAAAAAGGTTTTTGAACATAATTCATACAAGATTAAGACACAATTGTATTTTAAAGTCTGATTGATATCCCTGTAACCTAATAACCAGTCCTAATTGTTCTTGTGGACTACTAGAAGATACATATCATCTGTTTTTTGTTTGTAAACATTATGTAAAAGCAAGAAATTCCTTAATGAATAAGCTATTGTCATTAAATTACTTACATATTATAGATGTACATTTAATACTATGGGGCGATGATTCTTTAACTTTCGAACAAAATGCTGAACTTTTTAAGACTATTCAAACTTTCTTAAATGAATGTGGTCGTTTTTCCAAATAAGTTTTTTCTCACCATCTCAAATTATTTTTGTATATTTAAAGAATTTATTCCTTTCTATTGCTACATTGTATACTATGTATATAGTAGACCATATGTATATATGTTTGTTTTACTTTGGCAATTTCACAAAATGTTATATTAGGAGAGGACTATCTAAGTTTCTGAACTTGTGTCCGATCCTTTTGACTTTGTCAATAAAATATGTTCAATTCAATTCAAGTATATATGTCTGTTAATGATGGTATTGTTGCTAAGGCACTAGCAGGCCTGACCAATGGAGGATATACAATAGTAATATGGTTACCCTTTCGTTAAAGTAAAACGACCGTGTATGTATTAAGTCACACTCATATGAAGTACAAAAGTGGAACTTCAATACACTGGCAACAGTTTTTTTCTGGATTTTTAATTTCTTTGACGTAGAATAGAAAAATATTGACAATGTTCTATGAAAGTTTCCGATCCATAAAAGGACATTTTTAAATTTTCTAACCTAAGATATCCATCCTGTTTTAAGTACTATGAAAATAATCCCTTGCAGTTTAGAGTAAATTAGGATTTACCAGGAGAATTTTTCAAAAAACATAATTACCTGAGCTTAAATTAAGAATACATTTGGGGTCTATGTGAACAAGCAAGATTTTTAAAATTAAAATTTAAATACCATGAATATCAAAAAATGCCATAGTGGAAAGATGCAATATTGAAAACAGAAAAACAACTGAAAATAATTTTTCATAATTTTTTTTTTAAATCTAAGACATGCTTATGCAAAAACATATTTAATTATTTATTTAACATAATTTCTCTCTTTATTAAGAGTACTTTAATATTTTTTCCATCTCTTGTCTCTGAATATTAGAAACTATACATGTATGGCTTGTTTTGATTTTGGTAAGTCGTAACTACCAGAACTGTTTCTATAGTCTTCATACAATATTTCAGAATATTCTAAGTCTTAATCTTTTGTCTGAATCATGTATATTGTTAACAATCTAAATCTAAATCTAAAAATTTACTTACATTCCTTTGGAAATTTTGAGGACAAAGACGGAAACGTCTCTGCTTGTGGCAGCAAAAACTTAAATTTCACGAATAATTGAGTTTAGCTTACATAGAAAAGTAATTCAATTACAAGGAGTTCCTAGGTTTGGAAAGGTACTGTATACTAGTATAGCATACTAAAAAAAGAATGAAGTATAAAAACAAAGTCCTAAAGGGAACGAACAGGTGTTGGGAACCGGGATTTTAACATATATTATTGACTGTTTATCTCTAACGACATGCAATCCAAATAAACCCTGAAACTGGCGCACCAGATTTCTTATGAAAACTTAAGTGATGTTTGTATAGTATATTTAGATTTAAGTATCTACTGGATTTTTTTAATGACACTGGCAACAAGTAATCGTTTATTTATACCATAAAACGCATAATATAAAATAGATACGTTTTGATAACCAATTTAAAAGGGAAATGTGCAAATTGTTTTGGTCATTCACTGATTCTAATTCTGACGGAAGCCTCTAAAACATTACCTCTCATCGAAACCGATGTAAAATGAAAGATGAGGCGATAACATTTTAAGCTGTGAATATATGAATATATCGAAGACTTCTACATATACATGTATGTAGTAAGCTTTTCTATTGAATTTATCGGTAAAAATTTAATTTGAATTTTCCTTTGTGAGAGCATCGTGGCAACGTACCCGATGTACTTCGTAGTTAATTTTAATGAATATACAGGTACTTGGATTATAAATATGTACATGTATGCACTTAAATGATATGTAAGAAAAGTCAAAAACATTTTTTTTACTTATCAACAGAGTACATTCATACCAAGTAAAGTAAATTTTGCTCCCTTTACTCCCTCCCCCAAAAAACAATATATATGTAATACATGTAGTAAAATTCATTATTTGCTGCATCCTTTTATCCTTAACAGTAATGAAATAGCAAAACAGGCCTCACAATAAATGGCAATCAATGAAATTGTTATTTTTCTAGTTTTTACAAATAGGGGATGGAGTGCAGAGGAACATCTACTTCATGCGGAATTTTGAACAAAACAAAGTATTTCTTCCTTCTATAAACCTTTACACTGTCTGTCGATTTATTTTTTGTCGGTAGTGGTAACAATAAATTCACTTTCCCGCGCTTGCGCGGCATTTCATCCGGTATATTATTTTGGAGCATTTAATATTTTCTCTGTAGTTATTCTCTCATTAACTACAAACCCTTGATAACAAGAAAGGAGGTACTTGAGAACCTCAGACCTTTATTTCTTAAGGTAGAAAATTGTATTTCAAGCCCCCGCTATTCTCAAGTTTTATTTGTGTATTTGTTACAAACTGTTCAAAATATCTACAGTATTGTACGTTGTGTCTTGTGCACTGTACTAGTTTGAGTATAGCGATTAAAGAGGAGAGCACTTTGTAGAAACAACAAGTAATGAGTGAACCCTTTTGATGCAAGTAGTAAATTTTTGAATGACTATATTTAAAAAAGGAGAAATCATCTCATTTACAAACATATGATGCTCTCATTCCTTTTCTCACTTATTGACATGTTTTCCTGTTGCCAGTGTATCGAATATCCACTTTCTTGTTATTGTTTGGATGTGACCTGACGCATACACGATCATTTTTTGCAAAGATTGGATAACCTGTGATAAAATATGAATTAATTCCTGCTGCTAGGGCCTCTGCAAAATCTTTACTATTAACGGACAAATGTACACTCAAATACGTACTTCCTGGTACTTCAACAGCAAAGAATAAGGCGTAATTTCCCGACACAGGCACTGTTAATATTCCTGTTGCAGGATTATATCCGTCTCTAACATTATTCATAACATTCTTAAACACGATGACCTGGTTTGGTCGCGTGATCGTTTGTGTTTCAACACTGCTTACTGTCGCTGAGAAGGACACTGTTATTCTTCTAGCTGAAAATAAAGGTATAACAATAATGCATTTGATCATTTCATTCATTGAGATGTTTCCAAAAAGAATTATTAATTTGCATAGGTTTTCAACCCACATAGAACACAGATTGTAGTATACGCTGTAGTATACATCTCTATGCCCTGTTCTCAAGACCAGTTTATTTCGCAGTAAATAAATGCAAATTAAACTAATGCAAATCAAAATAATGCGAATTAAATCGCATTCACATGGCACGTAATATAATGCGAAGTAAACTAATGCAAATTAAGATTTTATTTCTACAGTCAGGCGTCAGTAAGGCTATTGTGACGTCTTTTGCAAATCACATCACCTTATGCAGAAGCAGATGCATTTGATATAATGGCATAGTGTTTCTACACACATTTTAGTGATTAACAAAATTTTCCATAGTTTTTCACTAAAAAATAGCACAAGTACTTCAAGCTGAACAAACTTGAATCTACACTAACAAAAGATGTTTGCCTATCTCTATTATCATGTTGTAAATTTACTAGGGGAGGTAAATGCAAAATTTACAACATGATATTTACCTCCACCTAGTAAATTCAAAATTTAAAACAAGATCTTAGGAATAACTGTGGCTTTTTATCTTTTAAATTTGAACTTACATTATGGTGATCCCATTCTACCCCACCACCCCCACCCTACCCCCATGGGTCATAATTTGTATAATTTAGAATCTATTCTAACTGAGGATGCTTCCTTTAAAGTTTCAACTTTTCTGGCCCAGTAGTTACTGAGAAAATTCCCTATTGTGGCCCCGATTAATCCGTCGGTCATGTTTAGTTACATGCTCAGATATTTTACTTGAAAAAGTCGTTAAAGGTAATCTAACAAGAAAGCAATATGATAAAAGTGATGACTTTAACTTTTCTACCGTTAACGTCCCTTACTACTGCAGTAATATACCTTCATCACCTGCTTACGGAGTGTATATATCTCAGTTGAAACGCAAAAGCATGCTCTTAGTATGAACAATTTTAAAACGAAGTAAATTATTGACAAGCAAGTTGATGAAACAAGAATATAAGCAGTCTCGTTTGAAGGCATCATTTCGTAAGTTCTATGGTCGGTACAATGACCTTGTCAGCAAATACAATTTATCATTGAACCAAATGCTGACTGACGTTTTCCATACCAATTGTTAGTCTATTATTTAAACACTGCATTGACGACGGATTTTTCCGTTATTTCCCGATCTTGCCAAGAAGTACACAGCGGATGTGACCAGGGGATGCTCACTACTCCATGGCATCTGATCTCACCTCTGATGTTTCGGAGGTCTGTGTTTGCTTTGCTCCCATTTCGTTTTGTTTTATGGACTTTGATATTGAATACTGTTCGTTATCTTCATATCGTTCCTAGAATAATTTAGAATCTACTTTTATTTTGGATTCCTTCGCATAAGTTTCAGCTTTTCTGGTCCAAAAGTTCTTGATTTTTTTAAGAATGATTTTTCCTATATTTGTCAATGTTAAAATTGAATTCCCATTCATGACCGTGCCTTACCCCCGGAGGTCATGATTTGTACAAACTTGAATTTACACTACCTGAGGATGTTTCCACATTAGATTTATCTTTCCAGGCCTAGTGGTTCTTGAGGATAAGACTTTTAAAACATGCAACCAATTTCTCACTATTTCAGAATCCCCTTCATCCAAGGATGTTTTGCATCAAGTTCAAACTCGGCCCGGTGGTTCTTGAGAAGAAGTCAAAAATTTAAAAAAAAAGTTAACAGAGAGACAGGCAGCTAGACGTACAGACAGACAGACTGACAGACAGACAGCTAAAAAGACACACCGCAGACAAAATGTGATCAGAAAAGCTCACTTGTGCTTTCAGCTCAGGTAAGCTAAAAAGGACAAAAATAAAATAAATTTGTCACACCCATCTTTTGTTAGAAATCATTTCTTAGTCAAAAGTTTAAAGCACATTCCTAAAAGCAGGTTGAAAGTAATTGATGTTGAGAAATATTTAATGCAAAAATGCAGACAATTTAATTATTGATTAATCTTATCTACAAGATTATTATTGTATCTGGAATATCTTTAATTTATGAAAGGTAATGCTCACCACCACGCATGCAGTAAGACAAAGTTTCTATTTGATTGCTCAGTTTAGTTGACAATTCCATGGATTCCTTACAATCTGTCTGTGCTTTCGATTCTACATTTTCCCATTTCTGCTTGACTAAAAACAGTTCCCGGTCGCATTTAGATACCTCCTTATTAAGATCATTTAATCTCATTTCCTGAACGTACACTGCTGCAAAAACAAATGCTATAAAAATCCAGCAATACCATGCACAATTCTTTCGTCCATTACAGATTTTAAGATATTGCAGACTCCTTTCTGCTTGAATGCAAAAATAAATTACAGTGTTTTCATTCTGCATTCACTGAACCATGGAGGAAACCTGATCATTAATGGCATGTCCTAATAAAGTTTTAAAGCCCCGACTTATGGTATAAAAAGTGCTTTTGTCAAATATTTGAAATGTTTAAACTGTTGACGAACGTATATTTACAAAAAAGAGAACATTTTCATTTTGTTTTATTGATTGTTCAGTACATTTGCACATTAAAAATAAGAAGCTAGCAAGCAAACAAACAAAAAGGCAAATAAAAGCAAATGCCTGAAAGCCGAAGAGAAATGATAAGTTTTACACTCAAAGAGGTCGTTGTGTCGAATATCCTTTCAGTTTTAATAACTTGTGATGATTAATTTGCCAATTCAATTCTTTATTTCCTCATGTCATATTGCACATCAGACAATTTATATAACCAAAATATATATATTAAAATCTTTCAAATATTTAATATATATTTAGATACATATTAAATGCTGAAAAAAATTGTAGTCCTACTCTTTGTTGTGAAGCGCTTAAAAATATTTCCAATTTAGAGATTTCTTTGACATTCTGAACACTTAACAACTGTCTTAGTTGGAAGACACTAGGTTTTTTTAACATAATACTGTTTGATACTAGTACATATCTATATTGAATTGTAGCTGACACATACATTAGATATTTCCTGTGAACCATAATGACTTACTGAGTAGAGAATCGGCATTTAACGTCACAATTTTGTAAGTTCTATGGTCGATACAATGATCTTGTCAGAAAATATAATTTATCATTGAGTCAAAAGCTGACTAGTAGTAGTAGTAGTAGCATTTATTTGGTATCATGCCATCATACATAAAACAAATACATGTACACATAATTGACGTTTTTCATACTAATTGTTAGTCTATTGTTTATACACTGAATTGACGACGGATTTTTCAAGTCTTTCCCGATTATGACAAGGAGAGCACGGCGGGTGTGACCGGTCAACTGTGGATGCTGACTTCTCCATGGCACCCAACCCAACCTCCTATTTTGTGTTGTTTCATGGACTTTAATCTTGTGAACTGATTGTTATGTCCATATGTTTCACTTCATTCAATACATACATACTTTTACTTCCATATTACTTCTCCTCTACTTTATCTGTTTAATGCAGAGTATCATGTCCTCTTACAAATACATACTATATTGAAAAATAGTTTTCAGTAGTTTACTATGGAATCAAAATTTGTACTTTAATAGTTTACCTGTTTACTATACTAAATCAAGTATTTTAAATACGGATTTACTTATTGGCATATTATTTCAAAATTTTTAATTTCTAAATTTTACATAACTGGTCAATGATTTAAAAGGCCTTAATCTTAAAAGAAGCTTTAAAAAAATCTTTTAAATGTCGTATGTAAATTTAAGTTTAAGTTTTAATAATAGCTAATAGCTGTAAGGTTGATATTGTAAACATGGATTGGAAAAATGGTTTGGAAAATATTTGCCAGTTTTAGTCCCTGTCAGTTTGGTTATATAAATATTCCAGCTAACTTTTAAAAGTATTTAAAACATTCTTGTACATGTAACAATGTGTAATGTGAAAAACATATTGAATTTGTAAAAAGGTCACTATATAAATGATACCGACTTTTTTGTTGCCAATCAGGATTTGTAGAGATTTGATAAAAAATATTCCAAATGTTATAGGGTCAATAGAAAAACAATTAAAGAGAGAATAATTCAGAATAAACATCTAACTTTTAAATTCTGAAAACATTTTTTAAGAAATTGAAAAAAATTCATATAATGAACATCACATTTCCTTGCATTCATTTACTCTACATGAATGAACAAAGCTGAAAAGAGAAATTGACAAGGAATTTGTACATTCACAATTCTTTCTCTCTCTGTAAAATGTTTCCCACTGCACTCTTTAAGTAGTCATTTTTTTTCTAAGTCAAAGAATGTAAGAATCCAGAAAAACTATTGCCCGTGAATCGAATATCCAGCGTAAGGGAATTTCCTGGATGTGATCTGATAAATACACGATCATTTTTGCGCACAAACAGGCTTACCATATTACTGCCTGTGTTAAAGGAATCTTTAATTTTTCCTGCCAATGCCTCTGCAATAATATTATTATTGACAGATAAATAAATACTTAAATGTTTATTTTCTTGAACTTCAACTGCAAAGAAAAAGACATAATTTCCAGACACAGGCACTGTAAATATTCCTGTTGTGGGATCATATCCGTTTCCAACATTAATCAGGACATTCTTATACACAACGATCTCATTCGGTCCTCTTATTGTTTGTTTTTCATCATTTTTGGCCGTCGCAGAGAACGTCACAAGTATTTTATTCCCTGAAAAGGTAAATATATAGTATTGCGTACCGGTATTACATTATGCAATATATTACCATTGAAAAACAATAAATCATAGCAACAATAATTGGTAGCGATCGATCCAATAAATAATCGCAAACAATTGGAAACAAGTATAAAACACGGATTCCTGTTAATTTCAGAGGTAGTATCAGGTGCTTAGGAGGAGAAGGCTTTCCCTGTTGACCACATACGGCCTCCGTTATCCCTATTTATTGATCATATGGACAAAGCATCCATTTTGTCAAATTCAGTGTAAAAGGGGCCTCAACATTGGTATAAATTAAGTCAGGAAAAATTCGACAAAATGATAATATAAAGAAGGAAATTCGGCGATGGAAAAGCTGTTCAAAGTCATCTCTTATTTATGCAACCTAGTTTTTAGTTGATCTTTACCATTCATACCAGTAGTCAGTAAGACGTCCAAATATCCCAATGGAATATATCGAATAAACATATTAATGCAAGTTACAATATTGTTAATTGATTAATCACCATCAATTTATCAAAATGTTTCTTGAAAGTCACATGTACGTTTCGCAAGTATTCATCATTTTCTCATGTAGTAAATTTTTTAATAAATTCTGCTTTATGGAATAAACATCAGGTTAGCTTAAACAGGAGCACAATAAGTGTCAATTAAAATTCAAATAGTTTATTGGAGGAGCTAGGCAAAAGATTACATAAATATTAAGAGAGAGAGAGAGAGTACTAACGTTCAAATTCCTGTCGAAGTCGTATGTTTTCCTCCTCGATTTTCATTATTCTCTCACGTAAATCACAGTCCTCTTTATCCGATTCGTATATAAGCTGACTTTCTGAATGCTTTACAAACAATATACATAGCAGTATGTTTAAAATAACAAACACAGAGCTAAAACTACAACAAACTGTACCAGACATAGCCTCCCTAACTTTCTCAATGTAAGGATGATAAACAATTAATTACCGCATTTCAAGACAAATTTTTAAAGGCATCTTCCGCATCTATCTACTCAGTGTGTTAAGCATTGCAGTGTTAGAAATTTAACACTCTCCTCGAGTTACTTTGGTGGTATCATCATAAAAGCTCTTAACATGATAATCACTCAAGCTGTAATACAATGGTACACATATTTGGAAAATTTTAAAAGCACGAGAGAAAAATATCTGTATAGTTGGAAAGAAACTTTAAAGTCATTTGTAGTAATTTTCATGCTTTTTCTTATCAATTATTTAAAATAGCGCTCTACTTTTTTTAAATATGAGGATATCAAGCAAAAGAACTCTAAATCAAAAACAAAGTAAAAAAAAACAACAAAAAACTCTTCGAATCTTGCAGTGCTTTGAAAATTTGTGAATATTTTCTAAGTAAATTTTCACTGAATTATATCTCTTTCATCTTGTAAATAATGATCGAGACATGGTCCGTATTTTTGCGTAGAGTGAAACAAAGATACGAGGGTTGATCCAAAAGTTTATGTTAAAATGCAACTTATATATGTCCACATGCGATTAAGTCAGCATTCCAGTTACGTTATAATAACAGCAGTTAGCTATATCTAGTGTATTTACACATGATAAGTGTAAAACTAGCTTAAACTTTTCAGACTTCCTGGTCTAACATAAAATGATTTTTTCCGTATACATCCAAAACATATGTCAAGTTCCAGTCGTTATGGGTTACATGTATCAAAATACATCGATTTTTTTAAAACTAAATGGCCAAATTCAAATGTTTAAAAATATTTATTCCACAGAAAAGCATGTCCCTATGAACAGTTTATACAAATGCAAAATCAAAGGTAAAGCACAAACTGTTCAAAATATGAACAGAGATGGTAAAATTAAGAAATTTCTCTTCTTGAAGTATCCAAATAAAGCAAAGTATTACAGCATGCTTTGTCGTGCTTTATAGATAACTATATTGACATTTTGTTGGGATTAAGTAACAGAAAGCGTTCAAACTTAGCAAGTAAAACAAAGAAGCATTATGAGCAAAAAGATTCTAATACCAGATTTAATGAATGCCATGTCTCTACGGTTTTTGAAAACTTCATGCCCTGAACTGAAGTGATAAAGGAACTCCGATTTTCTAGAATAAAAAGATGATCTTAATAATGAAATCAATAACTACGGAAAATATTTACTTTATATTCAAATTCAAAAAAGAATTACGTTATTATATTTAATTTAATGTAGCTTAAATTGATATCGTTGCAATAATGTTGGATCACGACTTGTATTACAGAAGGTGATGTGTCGTCCGTTAATTTCTTCAACAAATTGCTTCATTTTTTCCCCACCAGCCTTTATGAATTTGTCGATGCTATTTTCAAGTAGCGTTTCACCAAAGGTAAAAATTACCGTCATGTGATCAAAACCTCCAACTGGGAAAAGTTCCGGGACTTTTGCAAAGAATGCAAGTAGGAACTGAATCAATCGATCAATTTTTAAAACCATAACAGCTACGTTTATTCCAGATTGAATCGCTTTTTGAAATTTTTTTATTCCATTTAAGTCTCTCAAAATTCTGTGTATCGATCAGTTATGTTTTTGCCAAAAGCCACATTGTAGTTTTCATTCACGTAAGTGTAGCGTTGAACATCTTTTGTGATCGTTTTTTTCGCGGACCGTATGAGACCTGTCTCAAACACAGACCTTCTAAGGATCGTATTAATGGAAGAACTTTTCCCTGAACCGTTTTCCCCGATAAATAAAACATTACAATCTAAAATCAGAAATAATATATATTTCTTCAGCAATATCTTATAGAAACTCAAAAAGAGAAAATAGCGATTTTATTATAACCTTTTCATTTAAGGCAATATCAGGATAGCCGTTTATTTTACTTACTAAACAAAAAATGTCAATCTTCGCATTCGAATTTGAGAGAAACTGTCAATAAAACGTGTTTCTCTTTTCAAAAATTAGCAATAATTTTTTTTTTTTTTTACCGCATTCAACACAGCATATTATTTGTAAATAAAGTTGGCAAAATATATGAAAATCAAGATAACGAATTTTCCTTAAAAACTTTGCACAAATTATAGGAAAAATTCAGAATAGGAAAAATTTGAGTAAGAACTGAATTTTAAACACAATTTCGTAGATTTAACGTATAGACCATCGGTGGCATTTTTTTTTAAAAAAGAAGATCAAGTACATGTATTAGACTTGAATAGAGGATGGGATGGTATAATAAGCAATAAAACAACGTTGTTTCTAAATCAAATGGACTTCTAAACACGGAAAATATGAGAAGAATACCCCTTAAGGCTAATTATCTGATGCATACACTAGTATTTTATTTTTAATTAATTTTTATAACGAGTATTCCCCTCTTTCTCTGTTTAATATCTGTGATAAATATAAATAATAGAAACAAGGTTTTACAAACCATTTTACAAAATGAATCTAGATTACCATGCAGTTTGCCATGTAATATATATATTCTCTCTCTCACCTTTCATTTTCATTGGGGAAGAAAGTCTTCTCAGTTTATGGACCTTTTTCTCTGTGACCATTTCATATAATAACTGGCTGAGGTCTTCGTCAGTTGTGACGTCTTGCAGACCTTTATGCAGAATCTTCTTCAAAGATTTTAATGTTGATGTGTCTGCTTCATCTAAGATTATTGAGTGAACTCCGTCCTTGCAAATCTGACGAAAGGTTTTCTGAATGCAAGATTTGTCCCACAGAGAAAGGTTCAGAAACAACAAACAATAACTATCCACCTGAACCTCCCAAAATTTAGCTTCTCCAATTTTAACGCAGGCGGATTCATGTGCAACTTCTTTCAGTATTCTTTCTTTGCCTCGACCCGGTATTAACACAACGTATTCTTCCACTTACTCTAAAAGGGTAAAAAAGACTTCAGCATAGGCATGCAGCCATATTTCTGTCAAAGGATTTTTTTAATATATATTAACCTTTGTCCAAATATACATACCTAGAGTTGTGATGTTTCCTTCTGGTCGACGCTCCAAAAACTCTGTTATGCGCTGAGAAGACTTTCTCCACCGCTTGATGCGACATCAGGTAGCTGAAATACCTTTGGGTCATTGTGGAATATCTTCAGCATAGCAGAGACATTGTCTTTCATTGAATCGTATTTTCTCTCATCGTCGCCAAATAAGTTGATTCCAATTACCAAACGGTTGTAAAACTTTTCACCTAATGCGTCCTTCAGTTTCTTGAGTGAAATTGGCATTGGGATTTTCGACTCTTTTACAAGTAACACGACGGCATCAATTTGGCTAAAGGGATCTCTGAAAAACTCTATATTAGCTAACAGTTCATTCAGCGGAGGCGAATCAATAAACGTTATTTTTTCTTTTGATTTCTCGAGCTTGAAGTCATAGAATTCGACGTTTTCTGTTTTGCTGACCATTGATAAAACTATATCTCTCATTAACGATGCCTTTTTTCCATCCCCGATCACCAGAACTTTGATAGTTGGTATGTCTGTAACAAATTTTGATAATATACTGTATTGCATATAATGTCGCCTACTACAACATGTGCATATTCTTTGGTAGTCGGTAGAGTTTATGATGATAAATTTTGTCCATAATAATTTTTATGATAAGAAACCGTGTACATATATTAAAATAAAAAACATGCAAAAAACCTACTTGAACATGTACAGTGTACCACTGAAAAAGCTCTATATATAATTTAAGTTTCAAGAAAATACGTAATCGCCCAAGATTCAAGAACATATATATACGTAATCATCCAAAATTCAAGAAAATACGTTATAACCTAAACCACAAAAATTAATCTTTAGCATAATTATAACTACATGTACAGTAATCATGAATCTGCTGTTTTTGAAAAAAATATTCCTTGCATATTCCTTATTCCCACGTATTATTGTAAATCTTTTATCGACCATGACGATTGACCTCGTCAAATCCTCTGGGGTCATGCTTTTAACTCTACCTGAAGATTAATATAAGTGTATTGTATTAAATATCAAAAACTAGCTAGTTTTCTTTTTTTTTAACTTTGTTTGCTCATAGTGGCTGAACCTTACAACAGGGGTCAGGATTTAAACAATCTTGACAGTACACAACAAAAGAATGATTTCTAGAATTTATAACTAATCATACGTTTGTATTTCTTGAGAATATAACTTTCCAATGTATTCATGTGTTGTACATTGATCTCTCGTGGTTGTCCCACCTACCCAAAGGGTCATAAAATGGACAAAATTTATATTACACTACTGCAGAATGCTTTCAACTTAATATAACTGAGCATTACCTTACCGTAATTAAAAAGATTGATTGTAATCCTAAAAACATTTCTATGCTAAACTTCGATTGCTCATAGTGAATTTGAATCTACGTTTTGTCAGAAAGCTATCAATGTTTTTTTCTGGAAGAGGAAATGTCTAAAGTTTACAGTAACGATGACAACAAGACGACAACGAGACAGAGCGGACAAATTAAATAGTACCTTTGGTTCTAGTGAGCTAAAAAGTACTATCAGACCTTAAACCCATTTTGTTGGAGGGTAATAAACAAATATTAACTGTTCCTGATATTTTCTTTTGATATATAATAATGAAAGTGTGAATGAGTAATTGTTAATATAGTTCTGCGTTTAAGGGCCAAACAACATTCATCACCAGGGTAGGACATTATAAAATAAAATGCATTTCTCAAAAAATCTTGGTCCTATACTTGAAAAAAAAACATTGTATTAATTTCGAGACGATTTGGCAGTGTTAAATGAGCTACATGTAGAAGACAGTTTCACTCTCTAAGTAATATCTAAGTACTTTTGAAAATGAGAACCTTAGATTTAAAAGTTTATTTCAGGGTTTTAAATTACTTTTCATAGTTATGTATTTGAAGTGTCCTCTCAATCGTTAACTATGTTTGTCTCACTCCATTATATTTCATGAAAAAGTATATTTGCCATCACACTTTACACCATTCCTA